CCATCCGCCACCCACTACCGCCTTCCCACTGCCAGTTGCACATGCGGCTCTGCAGGCTGCGGACGGGCAACGCGCAACTGCCCAGGTGCGAGGCCCGTCAGCAGCTTGCGGAGCAACAGGTTGTGGGAAAGTGGGATGTGGCAGCAGTGGCAGTGACCCTGTGCACCCCCAACTCCCATCCAGTCACCGCCACCAGAAGGGGTACACTTCTTAAAAAAGGTTGAAAACCCCTGGTTTAGACTCCACCAGCAACAGAGTGCAGTTGCATCAGTTAAGGAAAAATGATGAAGAATTGCCACATCTACTTGTAGTACCCTACATGTCCCTTCAAGGCTCTTTGTTTAAGTACAGCTTAACCAGGGATGGATCTGCTGTCAAAAGGTTACATAGCTCCAGATGCACTCCAGTTCCTACCTACTACAGCAGCTGTTGATGGGTCATGCTGTGCCAGAGTCAGACGGATACGAGCCAACATACATTCTCTCTCCAAATCCTCCAGCTCCAGGATCTCTATCTGGTGAGTTGCTGTACAAGACAGAAGACACACAATCATTTACAATACCAACTGTGTGCTGGAGTGAAAGAGGCCCTACCCTGGAGTGCTGACAGACAACAGAGATAAAGAATAGGATGCAGACAGCAACTAGTTGAGAAGAGAAGATGCATACCTAAGCAGAGGACAAACTTTTCCACAAAAAGCTAGCAATTAGGGGCTCTATAAGAAGCACTTGAAGACAGATTTGGCAGAGAGCTCAGAGGCATGGCAGACTATGCCCGAAGGCCCCTTTCAGATCACTGCATGACTGCAGACTCTTCAGCTGTCTGTACAAAACGAATCCAGGTTAGGGCATTCTCAGCAGTTGAGATGTCAGTGGAACCCTGTGCAACATTGAGATGGACAAATATATTTGTGTGCCACATGTCCTCTGCTCATAACCTCTGTCCTACCTCACCCACCTTATAGCAAAAGTGGGCACACTGGAGGAGGGACAGGCTGCAACTAGATCTAGACAGGTTACAGGGGTGGGCCGACGAGAAAAGGATGGGTTTCAATACTGACAAGTGCAAGGTACTGCACCTAGGGAGGAAGAACCAGCAGCACACCTACAGGCTAGGGAACTCCCTTCTAGTCAGCACAGAGGCAGAAAAGGATCTTGGTGTCATTATTGATTCCAAAATGAACACGGGCCGCTAATGTGGGGACATGGTCAGGAAGGCTAACCACATCTTGTCATGCATCCACATATGCATCACACACCCTTTACATGCATCTCAAGCCGGTTCAAGGAGGTGATCCTCCCCCTCTATGTGACACTGGTCAGGCTGCAGTTGGAGTACTGCGTCCAGTTCTGGGTGTCGCACTTCAGGAGGGATGTGGAGAGCATCAAGAGGGTCCAGAGGGGGGCCACTCACATGATCAGGGGGCAGCAAGGCAAGCCCTACAAGCGGAGGCTACGGGACTTGACCCTGTTCAGCCTCCGCAAGAGAAGGCTGAGAGGGGATCTGGTGGCCGTCTACAAACTGGCCAAGGGGGACCAGCAGGCTATGGGAGAGTCCCTGTTCCCCCGAACACTATGGGGAGTAACAAGGAATAATGACCATAAGTTGACCGAGAATAGATTCAAGCTAGATATCAGGAGGCACTACTTCACTGTGAGGGCGGCTAGGAGCTGGAACCAACTTCCAAGGGAAGTGGTGCTCGCTCCTACCCTGGGGGTCTTCAAAAGGAGGCTACATAGACACCTAGCTGGGGTCGTTTGACCCCAGCATTCCTTCCTGCCCATGGCAGGGGGTCGGACTCAATAATCTGCTCAGGTCCCTTCCGACCCTACCAACTATGAAACTATGAAACTCAGAGCAGGGAAGATACTTTTCTATGGTACTTAGTACAGTCAGCAGCCATTCAACATACAAAGTAAAAATATTTGCACGTGGTGGATCCAATGGCCAAAAACAATTAAAAAAAAAGTGTTCATTCTACTGCAGGAAGTCCATTTATGAGGATGTAATTTGAGGACAGAACAGGGGTCACAGTTTGAATCTCCCCAAATACTAAGCTTTTGAGTCAAAAGCTGGGATGCAGAATTTTGGCCACAGCTAGCAGTCACTTACTTGGAACAGCTGCACACTCTCCATCATGGCTTCTTTTGGGGGATGCTCCTGGTCGTTCATACTGCCAATGAAAAAAAAAGGGAAAAGTTTTTTCTGAATTTTCTTTTCAAAGGGCAGAACATTTCTACTTCTAAGACCTTGTATCAAATACTAGGAGGCACAGAACTATTAATCAGTTCAAAGTACATTTTTACTACATTTCCAACTACAAAAGGCCAAGTACACTCAAGGTATTTCTGCCACATCAAACTTAACTTGTTTCAGAAATCATGGCTCTTGCTGCAGAAAACAAAGCGTTTCTTATGCAAGAAACAAGAATTTCTAAAGTAAGAACCAAGAAAAAGCTGGATAAAACTTTTAAACTGCTTCTTGCTGTTACCTAGTCCCAGCTCCCACCTGCTCACAAAAGGAAGCCTGATGGAATGTTTCCATTTCTCCTCTTTTGGGTGAATACATATGATATGAATAGCAAGTAGCCACACAAGAGCCAACTAAAACAAGTTTACTCAAATATGAACAGGACTTGGGAGTGACCTTCAAGCAGTTACAACTGCAGGGCCCGATTCTTACAGACTTTGCAAGGACAGGTTATATAACTGCTTCTATTATAAAATGGATTTTACATGATAAACAAGCCTTCAAACAAAATTGTAGGTCCAAGCAGGATTTTTTTTTTCCTGACAGAAGATGATTTTCAAAAGTATGAAAAATATGTGTTTGTTTATAGCAAAAACAACACTAAGGCCAAGAGGGTGCATAAATGCTATTCACTTCAAGAGTACTGTTTATAAGACTGATGAAAAAACATCATACAATTTCTGGATCATGTCCAGATTGCAGCAGAAAAGTCCGATGTAGGTAAAAATTACAGATTTTGCTGTCTGCTACTGAACGTACCAAAAAGTTTGACCATTTTTGTAGCCATAAAACAGCCTTGGAAAAGGACTGCTGTAACAGGAGTTTGTAAATGGCAGGAAAAAACAGCCTCCTACTGCCCTACAGCCATGTTTTCATACTGCACAGTATAAGGACTAAACTTGCATTAGTTGTCTTAAAACAGAGGAGAACATGGCTTATGGAAGAATCTTCACAATAAAGATAAGGCCATTTCAACAGCTGCATCATCGACACTTTGCTAGAGATGCAAAACCACCCAGAAGTTCAATATTTCATACCACAGCACCAGAGGTGGGTTGCACTATCCAAGCGTATTCTGGTCGGATCAGCCGTAAGCAGTTAAGGGCAGCAAGGTAACAGTTTACTTGTTTCTGGAGCCCCCGAAGTGTCCGCACCTCCCTGCCGAGACGCATACCATATTCAAACATCACTGTCCCAGCTGGAGGAGGAAAAAAATGGAACCTTTCAGCATACCAGTATTCTTTTTCCATTGGACCACCTCCTTTATAGGATTTACTGGCTATAAATTCATTGTTTAACTGATAAGCCCAGTGATAACCGGTTATAGCTTACCAGTTATAATTTAGTGCAAGGCAGGGTGCAGTCCAGAAGAGAAGTGAAGGGTAGGAGGGGAGGGAAACTGCAGTGGCCCCAGCAGGAACCAGATGGTGACAGGGCTGGTGAGCGGGAGGGAGGAAGGAATGGAGAAGCGAGGAGGAGGATGGGGGACTAGTACCTACACCTAGGCTCTGCAGACCCCAGTGCAGCCACTTGCAGCCTCCCCGCCACAAGCAGCCCAAGCCCCAAGCAGGCCCCTGTAAGCAATGCAGTGGGGTGGGGCAGGCGTTGGCCCAGGACTCAGCACCTCCCCCCGTCTGACTTCGCAGAGCCACAGGCTGGAGCCCAGCACCACAGCACCTATCCCTGTCCCTACACCTGGCCAGATGCAGTGCCTTCTATTGCTGCAGCTGCTGTGCGCACACCCCGGCTGGACCTGCAGCAGCTGCAGGGCCTGGCAGGGGCAAGGTGGAGGCAAGGGGGTATAGGGCAGCTGCCTCAGGCCTGCAGCTCAGCCCCACGATGCACCCCATCTGGGCCCAGAGAGAACATGCCTGCCTGGCTCATCATGAGTATAGCCCAGGGGAGCTGCTGAGTTCCTACTAGACTTCCACCACTGGAAGCGCCCTGCTGGTGCCAGGCCAGGCAGAAAGGCCCTACAGGCTAGGCCAGAGCAGTCCCACATAGGCCAGGCCAAGGACTGCCATACCAATTCATCATTTAATGGTTGTAATTACAGCAGGTTAAACGAGTATTTTTAAAAATCAGTATTTACATCCTTAACTGGCTATATGCTGTCCAGGAGGAACAGCATAGGATACAGGTCAGCAACCTACAGCCCACTGGATGGACCCAGCCTGTGAAAAGATTGGATCCAGCATCTCCAGGGATTCACACCTAGGGCAGCAGGTCTCATTACAGGCCTCATTCCCTATCCCCACTCCTGACTGCTATTAGGGGTATAGAAATTTGCATGGAGCTGGGGTGCAAGCAACAGCTAACGAAAGCAGAAGTTGCCAATCCTTAGCCTAGTCCAAAGAGATGCGGAAGTTATCTACAAGTTCTCAGAGAACCTGGATAAACTAAAGACTGAATGGATTATGGATTGGCCCATGCAACAGAACATGTGTGGGTGCAAAATGATGCACAGCAGTCACACTATTGAAGATCCAGAGAAGGGGGACCCAGCATGATAGATAAGCTTTGAGGCAGCACTCCCCTAGAGCCAGTCTTACCCTTCCGATAGTTGTGGCGGTAGATATGGAAAGCATACAGCAGCTCATAATAATTGTGAGTCATCAGGTCCACTGCTCGAGCACGAGACTCAATTATGCCCACTACCTAAGACACACGACAAAAGTTTGTCAGTTGACTATCATTCCAACAGTGGTCTACTTCCCTAACCCACTGCAGGCCAATTACCTCATTATGGAGGCTCACATAGGGGAACTCCACCAGGTCTTGCAGCTGAGAGCGCTCACAGAGAACAACCACTAACTGGCGCAGACAATCCAGCTGCCTGGAAGAGAGAAGGGCAGAGCTCTTCTGTTATGAACTCTGACAGGATGCTAGCTTAGAGAATCATGTCCAAATAGAGGGATTTTGAATGATAGTTCCTAAGCAGCAAAAATGTCAGAGCATGAGGTGACAACGAATGTCCAATTTCATTTGCTCCCCTTGAAGGCGGCCTGCACTTGGCTTTAGGACAGATTCTCCTGGGCAAAGATGGCAAGTAGAAGACAGGTCTGCTCCAAAGACTTGGCTAGAAACAGAGTCTAGACAACAAAAGCTGAACTCTTCTTTTTCAGAGTCCACAAAAAAGCAACTCTTTTAAACTTCGTTCCCATTAACAGGTGAGGGATCCCCATAGACCCCTGCCTCCTTACATATGAACCTGGTGGGGGGTGAAAAAGCCTCTCTGGCTGGAGAAGCAAAGCAAATTCCTCTTCCTTACATAACAGGAAGGGGTGCTCTCAGACAACAGACAGGTTGGCAAACTCTATTTAGGGTGAGCATGTAGCTTACCCAGGAAATAAACCCTCTTTCAGTTTCCTGCCAAAACAAGCTTCAGAAATCAAGATTGCCCCAAGGCAATCTCAAGCAGCATACATGCCCTCCTCATTCATTAGGAGCCACATGCTATTTAACAGCACAATTTAAGTATCATGCAAACAGGTTTCCTAAAACGCATCATTTACCAGTGTGTCAATTTGCTTGGGAGCCCCAGGATGATGATGTGGTCCTAGACCGGAGTGACTGTACAACCCCTGCTCAGTATCTTCTGAGACACCTTCCTCAGTTTTTTTTATTTTGGACTATACTTTGACCTAAGTATTGAGTTTGAGCAATCTTACGCTATGTAATAAAAACTTTACAAATTACACAAAGGGGGCCAAGATGAAAGGCAAGAACAGCATACTCAGCTCAGACATTAGATTGCTAGAGTTTAAAGGCAAAAAACCCCCCAAACATTACTTACCTGCTGGAATCTGGATTCTGAGTTAAAGCTTCATATGCTTGGCTATTATGTCCTAAATCTAGGTGATGTTTGAATATGCAAGTCCTCAAAGTAGCCTAAATACCAGAGAACATAAAACAAATCATTCCAAATTATGTGCACAGATTAAGATAAGTTTCTTACAGGCAGCAAAACATGCTGCAAGGACAAAAATAAAAATATTGGTATGAAAGAATGCCCACCTGGCTTCTCCAATCATCAGCTGCTTCTGTTATTGCTAAAGTGGCCAGCTGTATGACCAGCTCAGGTAGACCAACAATGTCCAGCAACCGCAGAACCTAAAAAAGGGAAGAAAGATGTCTACTTCTGGCTGCAAGAGTCTTGAAGGAGAGGTAGAGGTTACATTTTTGTTTGCTTATTTATTTTTAAATGTGACAAAATTACTTCTGTTCTCACCAAGCTCACCCTGCCAAAAGAAAATTTACCAACATTAAAAATAAAAACCCAAAAACAGAAGAGATTCATTTTCAAGCAGAAGCCAAGAAAAGAAGGCTTTAACCCCAAAGCAAACATTATGTCAAACTGAAAGATATACTTAGAATAAAATGGAGGTAAATCAAAGTACAGGTATAAAAGAACGGTCATGGAATTTTCTGCAAAGTCTCCCTCATGATCGTCAGACCTCAAATTATTTTCCAATTCATTGTAAGTTCTGAGGCTGAACAACAAAATGTATTTACAGTATCATAGGCTGTGTTTAATTTTATTAATATCCACATTTGATTCAAAAAGTGAATTTATTCACCTAAAAGCTGCTATGGGATTTTCAGTCTGTGAAACTACTCGGGGACTAAGTATGGTTTCAGTTTGGTCCCAGTGCTCAGGGGAGAACCACTCTCCAAAGCACAGCAAATCCAAAAATGAGTTAGTGAAGCTGCCCTGGGGGAACCCTCACTGCTCACCAGACAGAACTTAAAAACAGTGGAGGAAACATCCCTGGAGTATCTTCAGCACCTCATTTCCAGGTTTGGTGCCTGCAAGCAGAATTAGACAGGACAGGGGATATCATCTGAGAGCAGGCCTCCATGCGAATGCTCAGGGCAAGTGTACCTACACCCTTTGTAGCCTTAATGCTAGAAGTTTACTCACCCTTAAATGACCTAAATAGGTTAGAGAAAAGACTTCAAGTGATGCATAAAAGCTAACTCCGTTCCACTAGCCACAGAACATACGTGTGCAAACCAGCACAGCCAGTATCAGGCTGAGGCACTGGCCTAGCAGTAATACCTTATCATAATACTGCAGACGTGGAGTGGAAGCCATTTCACCATCCTCTGCTTGGATCAGCCTGTCCAAGAACTCCTCTCTTCCAACTTCAGATGCAGCTTGACAGAAGCAGTCCAGAGCCTGGAAGACAGCCAGAAAGGAACTGAGCACTGCCTGTCACATGACTGACTTAATCCAAAATAGTGATAACCAGGACAATTTGCTTGTGTTCCAGACACAAGCTTTGGGTCACTACAGGGCAATACCTTAACTTGCGTCACTACAGGTTGCCTTAGGACCAAGTATCTACTAGCTCAAAAGCTTGATTGCTTCCTCCTTTGCATTAAATGTTTGAAAAACTAATGGAAAGTGCATTTATTCTAAGCAGTGCAAAGCCCATGGACATTCCTTCTCTAAGATTCTGGTAATTCACAAAGACCTAAATCAGGACCAAGCCACCACTATGCTGCATAGATACAGGAAGGTCAGACATGCCTTAGTAGTCAGCTCTTCTTAATGCCTCAACCTCAAGTTTATTCTCTGCCCTCTAGTTCTTTCCGCATTACTTGTCCCTCAGTCACATAAGTGACTGCATCTGCCTCCCCAGTTATAACCCTGTTTTCCCTTCTCCTTTCTATATCAACTCACTGAATACTCATTCTAAAACCACTACATTTCCTGGATGCTTTCCCAGCTGACTTCCCTTTCTCCACACTAATGGAACTACTGTATTTACTCAAATCCAAGATGAGGTCTTTCCCCTCATTCAACGTGGGGAAAACGCCTCATCTTGGCTTCAACCAGCCCACAGCTGCTGCAGCTCCAGCAGAAGTGGGTGGGGGAGTGTAAAGGAGACCACATGGTGAAGGAGTGTGGGAAAGACCATTCAGCAGCAGAAGAGCTGCTGCTGCAACCCAGGCCTGGAGACGCTGCTGCCACCCTGACTGCCTGTCTGGAGCCAGGGCTGAAGCCACCATTGTTGCCTGACCAGGGCCAGAGACAGTGTGTACACTCTGTGCCCCAGGCCTGGACCCAGAGCCTGAGCTGCCATATAGGGCAAGTGGTGGCAGGTACCAGGGAGGGCAAGGTGCAGCAGGAACACGGGCTGGGGGTCAGGTTGCCTGTCCTCACTGCCACTTGCTTTCCCTGCCACAGATGCAACAAGTTGGTCGTTGCCTACAAAAACTCAAGCCTCTCTGAACCAGTTAGTCTCCAAGATGCCACCCTGCCCTACCTTCCACCTGACTTCAGACAAACATAGCTAATCATCCTTCTATCATTCAGAGACATTTTTAACCCTCAAGTCAGCACTGCTAACCAACAGGGAAATGTCTGAGATGCTAAACATGGCTAATTACCGCTCTAAACTGAACACAGACCACAGAACTTTCCACTAGAAAGCTGGCACTGCACAACCCTATCTTCCTTAAAAATGGTAATATATCATCGCCTGATGATAATAAAACCTTCAAGACAGTCATAGGCAGCGGAAAGTTGGGGCTAATGGGGCTCAGCCCCCCCAAACACGAGGCAGCGGGTAGGGCCACAAGGCAGCTCGGCCAAGGGTTCTGGGTGGCTGCAGCAGGGGTGCAGCAGGACGCACACATACCCAGGATCGCAGCTCGGCATGTGGATCACTGGCTGCCCAGCACGGCAGACAAGTACCAGTCAATTCTATGAAGGGGAAGGGGCTGGGACAGATCAAGGCCCCCCACGATGAAGGAGGGAGTGGGGCAGAAGCAGGGACAGGGGCTGGGGTGAATGGGACCTTGGCCAGCCTGGGTGGTGGGACAATCAGAGCCTAGGCGGCTCATCTAGGGGCGTGGAGGGGGGGGCTCCCACTGCTGTGTGCACCCCAGTGGAGGCCCAGGGGGGCACATGCCATGCAATCTGTGTAGGGCTGGAGGCAGCTGCTGCTGGGCTCTGTGTGCCACTGTAGCTGCCCCGGGAGCAGCATGACACTGCATGCCTGTCACTGCTAGGCTGCACTGCGCCCCCTGCTCACCCAACAGTGGGAGGCACATGGCATTGTGCAGCTCTCAAGGCACTGGGGCGCAAAGCCCAGCGAGCAGCAGCAGCCACCTCTGTCAGGGCGTGCACAGTGGTAGGAGCCCCCGCCCAGGACTCCTGGATGAGCCGTCCAGGCTCTGACTGTCCCACCACCTGACCCAGGCGGGACTCCATTCATCCCAGCCCCTTCCCTCCCACCCACCAAAAAAATACTTTTTGTTGTCTTTAATTTGTGTTGCCAGCCTCAGCTCTGTAGTTGCTTTGGCTTTTCTAACTGCCTCCCTGCAAGTGTGGGCCAAGTAGGTATACTCCTCCCTGGTAGCTTCCCCCTGCTTCCACCACCTATATGCCTTCTTTTTTGCCCTTAGGCTCCCCTGGATTTCCTTGTTTAGCCAAGGAAGTTTTTTGGCTCCTTTCCCCCTTTTCCCACTCAGCCCCCTCCAAATTTTTTCTCCTTCCACCTATGAACACAGCCCATCTTCCTTTAACAATTTATACATTTGAATACTCAGAGCATATAGATAATTTCACTCACTGGACCTTGCATTTAAGCAAATTGTGTATCAAGTCTAGATGTACAAGTTGCACCCCCAAGGATAGCACAGCAAATTCTTGAGAAAATATTATTGGTGCGATTTCAGGGAGCCACCATGCACCAACTGCTACACTGTGGAGGAAGCAGTATTCTATCTGTGGAAGGAGCGAGAATTTTTACCTTGTGTCCCTCTCCCATAACAAGGTAGCACCTTCCCATCATGAAGCGACAGGAACCAACGTTCACATGACACCAGGGTTGCAGCAGACGAATGTATTCCTAGAAGAAGACAGCATTCTTTGAGCATTGACAGAAAAGGTTTCAGAGTTCCTGCATAACAGCTAGTTCTACGCCAACATGTACCTGGATTTTGGCATTCATTGTTTTATCAGGAATTTGAATATGTTAACCATGAAAAGCTATTTAGTGCTGTCTAATTGCAGAGTTGTAGTTTAATTTAGAGGAAGAGATTCTTCCAAATCTTACAATAGCAGAGGATCAGGTCCAATCACCCAGGAGGTCCCTTACAAATCTATGCACCTCCATGTTTAGAGGTTATTTACAAACAAGTCTTCTTGTGCCTGGTCATTGCAGCAGCAGGGCACTGGCAGTGCCGTCATCTACCCTGCTTTGGTCTGTAATATGCTATAGAGTGTTCTTGGCATTTCAGGTACTGTGGCCTGAGTGGAGTGCACAGCGATGATTATGTGGATTTCTTGAGTTGACCATAGGATCATGGAAAAGTAGGGCTGGAAGGAACCTCACAAGGTCATTTAGCCCAGCCTCCTGTTCAAGGCAAGATCATCCCTGACTAAACCATCCCAGCCAAGTGCCTGTTGAACTGCTTGTGAAAGTTTCTAAGCATGGAGATTCCACAACTTCTCTACATAGCCTGTTCACCCTCAGAGTCAAGAAGTTCCTCCTAGTCTCAGCCTAAATTTCCCCTGCTGCAACCTGAGGCTGTTGCTCTTAGTCCTGACACCTACAGCCATAAGGAAAAGCCTATCTCCGTTCTCTTTCTAATCACCCCTCAGGTATTTGAAGACTTATCAAATCCCACCTCAGTCTTCTCTTCTCCAGGCTAAATAACCCTAGTTCTTTCAGCTTTTCCTCAAAAGTCTAATCTCCCAGGACCCTAATCATTTTTGTTGCCCAGTACTGGACTCTTTCCAAACTGCCCACAACTTTCTTGAAGTGTGAGGCCTAGAACTGGATATAGTATTCCAGGTGAGGCCTCACTAGTGTCAAACAGAGAGAAAGAATCATTTCCTTAAGTTGATGATTGCCTGCAAAAACAAGAGACTGGACTACAATAAGGCTTCTTTTCCAGTCCCATATTCCTAATGTGAACCAATTTGGTGAAGCATTACAGGTCTAGTGTACAGCAACTACACAAGCCCTCCCACCAGCTTCTATCTGCATGTCTGCACAGCACTCTGGCCTCATTCAGCAGCATAAGGGATACTCTGTTGCTCCCTATTTGAGGTCACGGTCTTTCTGCAATCAAGACGTAAATCTGCAGTAAGTTCACTAAGGTCAACAGGCTCGCTCCGATTTGACACCCATTTAAACAAGATCAAAGTTTAGCCCTCAGAAACAGAACAGAGAGTCCCAAAGTTCAGAGAGGTAAAGGATGGCCCAAGTTCTTTAAAGAGAAACTCTGAATACTAGGGGTACAGCGACAGACATTTTTGGGGCCAATACAGATCCGATTTCCGATACAGCCAGTTTTCGTTATAATCAGTACTGATCTGATATCGGACCAATGTATTGGTGCACCTCTACTGAACACCTTCCCACTCATCTGCACCTGGGCCGTGAATGAAGCAAGAGCACTACAGTATGAGATAAGGTGTGATTCAGCTTAAGAGCTTGCAGCACAGTGCCTGGACACAAGGTGGAAGACAGAACCCAAGTTACATAAACAACCTTTATACTTCCGGACTTGAATGCTTGGCAGTTTTTACATTTTTTTTCCAATGGTCTGGCTGAGAAAACACAAAAACTGATTCTTGCCTCCAGCAGTAATACACTTCTGGGGACAAAGACACTGTTGAAAAGTCCTGCTAAAATGTACAGGAGAAAGAGTTCTAGCATTAGTAATTCCCTGACTGTCCGTAGCATTAAAACGGCTCACAAGGTTTTCCATCACTATGCAAAATAAGAAATATGATGCATTACTTTAAATGTAATAAGAGAGAGAGAGAGACGCACACATTTACAGCAACAAAAACCTTAATCATTTTGACTAGAGAGAATGAGAAGATATAGCTGAAAAGATAGTTCCAAGTAGTTGTCTGAATGAATGACATTGAAGAAAACGTTTTCACAATGGTACAGTTAGGAACAACCACAGACTGCTGTTCCATGCATTAACAGGTTACTAGGTTCTATTTAGCCCCCAACTACTGATTTCCCTTTGTGGAAAACAGACTGAAAAACTACACTTCTCTGCACAGCAATTAAAAACAAATTTCCTCACCTATACTGTGCTATATAATTCAGTTTAATACCTTTTAAAGAGGGACTCAAGTGACAGTGAGGGGAAAAAAAAAAACCAATGGGTGATGGTACTAAAGGGGAAGAAAAAACCCACACAGGATATATGGAAGACGTGGAAGACATCTAATATTTTATTACTACATGTTCGGTTTGCCTGACTTTGTATTTTCTACAAGGTGGGGAGTAATTAATCCTGATGGGAGAAAACAAACATTTCTGACAAACTCCCATTCCTGAGGAGGCCTTTAGGAAGGAAAACTAAACCAAAGCTCTATCTAGACAACAAAAAACCTGAGCTCCTGAGCTCAGGAGAGAGGCAGAAATTATGGAAAAGCAGACAGAACCCCAGCGCCAGAGGAAGGGGAGGTGCTTGGATAGCCTGACCCTGGTTAAGTTTAAAGTAAGACCACCGTGCACGGAAACTGCGTCATGTTGCATTGTATTCTACAGCTGGTCATGCTGCGAGTATTCTGGCGAGAAGAAGAAATTCTGTCATAAAATTGCTGTCTGGGTCATTTCAATTCCCAACTTGACAGCTCCCAAGAGGAATAACTGTGC